AGACACTTCTAAAATGTCCTAACAAAGTATTAGGAAAGCAAAGAGAGTGTGATTCAGCCTCTGTATGCCAGGCCGGTCTGCAATTCAGAAATCCAACCGTTCATCTCAAGAATAAGAAGAGGAAGAAAATCTTGCAGGCATTCCCAATTCTGAGAAGCACGTGAGAGATCCAACTTTGGCTCCTGATGAGGACACTTTCCTGTTAGCTCCCAGACCAGACACTTAACGTGGTAAAGGACAGCTGCGAAATACACACAATGTCAAAGGCAGAACACGGAAGACTCCCCTTCAGCTTGGGGGACAGAGTCTAGATCAGCCTGTTATTACTTGTTTAAAAAATCATTTGTTATTTAATTTTATTTTATGTGCCTTGGTGTGAGGTCCCCTGAAACTGAAGTTACAGACAGTTGTGAGCTGCCGTGTGGTTGCTGGGAATTGAACCCGGGCCCTCTGGAAGAGCAGCCAGTGCTCCTTAGCAGCTGAGCCATCTCTCCAGCCCCTGTTACCACTTTTATACAACACTAACCTTGAGGTCTGTGGGGGGTGGGGGAGTGGGGAGGGGAAGAGAGGGGAGAAAAGAAAGTGGTGAATGGAAAGCAAGAAATAATAATGTCATTTGGAGACAGTAAGATCATCCCTATACAAAATTTCCACAAGTTTGGCATATTTGTACGAACTGGCAAGAAATACATAGCAAATAAAACATACAATGGAACTGAGACTCAAATACATGGAAATGTAGAGCCGAGCATGGTAGCGTACACTTTTAATCCCAGCACTCGGGAGTCAGAGGCAGGTGGATCACTGTGAGTTCGAGACCAGCCTGGTCTACAGAGTGAGTTCCAGGACAGTCAGGGCCACACAGGGAAACCCTGTCTCGAAAAACAAAACAAAACAAAAATTATTAGAAATCAGAAAAGTATATGATCTTACTGAGAAAAAACTATGAGTCAAATAAAGAGCACACACTGTTAAGTGAGGAGTGTCTGGTTAGCACTTCCAAATGAGCGCATGCTTCCAGGCAGCCCTAAGCAGACCCAAGATGCCTTTGGTTCATTTCTTTGCAGACACTGACAAAACTTTCTCAGATGAACAGGGAACTATGAAGGATAGAAGAGTCAAGGTGTTGGAGAAGGAGAGCAGGGGAGAAAAACTATCCTTCTGAAGCTCCTGGCCATCACAAATGAGTGCTGTGGGTCCAGGGACAGTGTGTCCAGTGGGAGAGGGAGGGCCAAAAGTAGCCCAGCGTATCTACCATCACATGACTTACAAGAAAATGACCCTGTGACTCAGCAGGGAAGGTGAATGGAGAAAAAAAACACTTCTTGAGGCTACATGCAAAAGCCTGGTGGCTTGCTTTTTAGAAGCAAATCTGCCCGCCCCTCCCAGGACCTTGGGGCAAACTGTCCTTAAAGACAAGATAGAAAAACAAACTAACCACAAAAGAAACAATAGAATAAAATCGACTTTATTAACGCTAAGAACTTCTTCTTCCCAAAAGTGAGTGAGGCCATGGGAGTCGTTACATCTGTCAAGCAGACATTAAAGCCACGGTGAAACCATACAAAGATGAAATGATGAAAAATGCTACTAGCTATTGGCAGAGACTGTTGAGAACATGGGTTTCCACACATTCCCGGAGGGAGGATTAAACCCACAGAACCACTGTGGGAGGCCGGTAGTTACTACTACTCCCGAACATGAATACAACCTCCGACGCAGCGAATCCATCCCAGGTACCCCCTCAGAAGACACTATGGTATCTGGTGTTGTGGTGCCTGTCTGTAGTCCCATGACTTCAAGGTCATCCCCTGCTACGTATTAAGTCCAGCCTGGGCTGCAAGAGACGGTCTCAAACAAATAAACAAACACCCCACCAAACAAAAAAGAAACGTGCACGTTTACCAAACTCAAGTGTTACAACATGCACAGGCACAGTACCTGCCATAGACAAAAGCCGAAAGCTGGCTTGGGATATGGCAAGCACGTTACCACGGAGACTGAGTTCCGTCCTCAGCACCTATGAAAAGCTGGGCACTAGGGTGAGTGCCCATCATCCCAGCACTGCCGAGGTGGAGACAGGAACACCTTGCTGGCAGACTGGCTAGCTCCAGGTTCAGCAAGCAATTCTGTCCCCAAAACTAAAGTGGGGAGGAACTGAGAAAGACACCTGACATTGCTTCTTTGGGCTCCATATACAGGTATGTACACACACACACGAGAGAGAGAGAGAGAGAGAGAGAGAGAGAGAGAGAGAGAGAGAGAGAGAGAAAGAGAGAGAGAGAGAAGGAGGAGGAGGAGGAGGAGGAGGAGGAGGAGGAGGAGGAGGGGAGGGAGGGAAGGAAGTTAAAGGCTACCCAAATGCCTTTGTTAATGAAATGGTTAAAGAAATTTCAATATTGACACATCGCAGAATATCGTACAGATCTACAGCTAACCCCAAAGCCAAAACTACCGATGAATCTCTCAAAGTAAGTTTAGCCAAAAGTGAACAGACTCTCTTAATATAAAGTATAAAAACGATCCGTGTTGTTGTACGTCTCTGCCGCTGGCAGGTGGGTGGCTGAAGGAAACGCAGAGGACATCTGTGCTGGTAGGAGTCCTGTATGTCGGTTGCCTTCGAGGGCAGGCTGTTCTGCTCACCCCCTTCTCTGAGTCTGGTCTCCTGCCTATCCTCGCTAGCATTCTTCCCCATCAAATTAGCTGGACAGAATGCAATCTCTGCCTATGCAATTGTCCGCTTTCCTTTCAAAACGCGTCTTTACAGCTGTATTTTATGGAGGCTCTGCAAATACCTGCTTCTGCTGACCGACTTCTGAGCCTTTATCTCTCCAGGTAGCTCCCCAGCTTTCTGATAAGTTTTTCTGGCACAATTCTGTGCTCTTTATCCACACGCCTCTCTCCTCATCAATATTCTACCTTATTTACAGCGATGTGCTGCCTCTCTCTACTCTGCTAACGTCCAGATAAAGGGAAAGGGAAAGAAGGATCAGTCTAAATAGGACCAGCATTTTTCTTCCCACTGGGGCAGAATCAGAGGCCATTGTATTTCCGGCGTGACAAGGTTCACTGGAGCTGAGGATGTAGCTCCGTTGGTACAGTCCTTGTCTAGCATGCATGAAGCCCCGAATAGATGGGGCGTGGTGGTTTACTCCTGTAATCTCAACACTTGAGAACTATGAGCAGGAGGATGGAAGTTCAACATCATCTTTGGGACATACTGAGTTCGAGGCCAGGCTAGGAATGCACAAGACCCCGCCTCAAACAAACAAAAATAACAAAAACCCCAATTCACTGAGAAATAGGAGTTGGTGTGTGCTTGTAATCCCTAGCACATAGGAGGATTGAGCTGGAGGATCGCAAGTTTAAAACCAGATTCTGTCTCAAAAAACGAACACAAAAGATTTCGATGATGACTTGGGATCTCTCGTGTGCCATCAGCTTATGATATCGTGATACACCACTAAATACTAAGCTTATCAAATACTCTCGTTTACTATTATTTCATACTCACCAAACATATTCATGTCTACAACTCTGGCTTTTCCAGGCTTTCTTTCAGGCATAGAGGGGCCCCATTGGAGTTCTGATCCACCAAACTCTTACTTTAAATTGATAGGTAGACATTCTTTCGGTTTCTATTTCACATCATTCTCCATGTATGAGAGATGCCAAAAATATCCAGTTTCTAGATTTGCAGGTGGGAGCAATGGGGCCACGCCTGCTTTGGCCCCACCTGGACCACCTGGAAAAGCCGGCAAACATTTTAACACTGATTCAACAGCCAAGAAGCCAAGTTTCCCCTCCAAGCAAATAGCCATCCAGTCGTTTTAATACACATAACTGAGTACGTGGAGAATTTTCTTTTGAGGCAAATATGGACCACTCCCGCAGTTAAGCATGCTCTCATCACCCTCTTGTTTCCTGTTCGCTTCTGAGCAGCAGCGGCCAAGGAAAGCTGCACCTTCCACCACGGCTGTCTACCACAGCGTAGAGGGAAAAGGGCGGCATGTCAAAACTGTTCTCCGAAGTGACTCTTTTTTTGTTTGTTTGCTTTTATTCTGCTTTTTCTATGGTACCCTTTGGGCATTTTCCATTCAACACTGAGACAGCCCATCTCCACTCCTAACTAAAGGCCTCCACCAAAGAAGTCGCCTTCATCATTGCCCCCGGGGCTCTGCGAAGCCCGGGTGGGTACACCAGCTGTCATCTGCAGCTGCAGAGAGAAGGCGAAGCCACCTGAGCAAGCGGGACCCGCTACACCGTGGCAGAGCAGGGTTGGGGGAGCCACATCCCTGGCACAAACATACGGTGGCGAACCACCTCTCCAGCTCTGTTTATTCTGTACATAACACCTGGCCATGAGGTTCAACAAACGTTTATTGAACATCTGTACCATACCAAACCATAGCCGAGGCCAAGGGCACTGAGACAAAACACTCTTTTTACAGCTTTATGATTCCCAAAGCCCCGTCCACCTGTCTCACCCGAGGCAGCCTTGCAGAATCAAACTGCATCTCCAATATATCTATCACACACCTGGAGGGCTGGAGCCTGAAAGGCCGAGTTACTGGCTAAAGACCACACAGTCAAGAAACAGAGCATTTGGGACCAAAATCCCAAGATCTGATTATTTAACGGTCCATTTTTACCATATCACCCTATTTTTCTACACTGCTATTTGGCATTAATTACGGGGTGTTTTCTGACTTTGCTTATAATTCTTTGTTAACGTTCACAGAGAAGAGGGATCTCGAGGTTGCTTAATTCCTTTTCTTGTCATTTGTTTCTGAGACAGGATCTCACATAGCCCAGGCTGACCTCAAACTTGCCACCTAGCTGAGGCTAGTCTTGAACAACAGATCCTCTTCTGTCCATCTCCCAAGAACTGGAATTACAAACACTTACCACTATGTCCTGCACCATCAGTCTCTTAATTCTGAAACAGATTTTCACTCCTGATTACTTAATAGTTTCTCCCGAATTATATTTTTACTTACATACAGTTCATCGTGTTGAATCAGATATTTTGTCAACAAAATGAGTGAGAACCGAAGTTCTGCATTTATTCTGGGGCAAGCATTTCAGCTCTCGGTCACCTCCAGCTCAGAGATGCGTTCTCTATACTGCGTCACGGCCGATATTTATTTCCAATCACACTACAGATTCCTAGAAGAGAGCAACCACATTATAGTTCTGGGAGTGTGGCCAAGACTAACAATATTTGCTGAATGGAATTTAAATCATGGCTGGCCCTGCTACTCCCTAAATGGGAAACATTAGCATTAATGGTTAAGCCTGAAACTCGAGAAAGAAAGACCAGGGTAAGAGAGCAGGCTCTACCTGTGACCTTGGTTCAGTTCACCAACTAAGCCCCACAGCTCTTGGTAGAAAATGGGGGTTTTAATAGCCCCTTCCTAGGGTCCGTGTAGCAGCTCAAAGCATAGTACAGGGTGTGAATGAAGTGTTGTCTAGACGGCGTGCACTTGCTATGACCACTTCCTGTGATCTTTCCAGAAGCCCTTCTCCTAGGGAATGTGATGCTACATTTCACTACTACAAACTGAAAGGTCAGAGTTCCACGGCAAATTATCCACGGAGCATCGACCACAAAAGCCTGTTTGCTGCAAATAACTGATGGGGCATTGTGGTCGTGCTGGCTGTGGGACAGCGAGGTCCCCTTTCCCCTCTCAGTGCCATCTTATTTCATTTGTGGTAATGTGAGCTGGGGAGTGATGTTTGCTTCAAATTAGAGGGGACTTTGAATAATCACACCGGCCTTTATAAAGCGATGACAATTAATGCGACAGGAAATTCTCAAAACTGGGAGCTTTAAATGTTACCAGTATGTATCAGAATGAGAATGAGGACTCCAGTTTTGAGGATATAATAGCATTTGGGAATTCAATGAGATGATCCCTTCAGGGTAGTGATGAACAAAATGGAAATTAGACCCCTGCCATTTATGCCCCAGACCCTAGATAAAATCATAATACTTCCGAACACTGTTTTAGCACACCGAGATTTTCAAAAATGTAAATTTTTGGTGTGTGCATGCTGTGTTTGTGTGTGTGCACATGCTGGCAGTATGTTTACCCATGCATACATTTGTGGGGACCAGGGCTGGATACTGAAGGTCTTCTCAAAAGCTCTCCACATTATTTTTTGAGACTGAGCCCAGAGCTTACAGTTTCACCTAGACTGGCTGGTCAGTGAGCCCCCTGGGATCCACCCATGTCTGGGGAGTGCTGGGGTTCCAGGCATATGGCTCTGGTTTTGTATGTGGGTTGTGCACATTTGAATTCATGTCCTCGTGTCTGAGCAGTGAACACTTCCTCCACTGAGCCGTCTCCCCAGCCCCACAAGTGTTTAGAAGCAAATTCTTACCTGTGTATTTCCTCCCTAAGGCTGAATTTGGAAAACAAAAGAGAAAGGGCATGGTGATGCACTCCTAGAAACTCAGTGATTGGACAGGTGGAGGCCAGCCTTGGTTACATAGCAACACAGGGAGAGGAGGGGAGAGGAGCAGGAGGAGGAAGGGGAGCAGGAGGAGGAGGAAGGGGAGCAGGAGGAGGAGGAGGGGGAGCAGGAGGAGGAGGGAGAGGAGCAGGAGGAAGAGGAAGGGGAGGAGGAGGAAGAGGAGCAGGAGGAGGAAGAGGGAGGGGAGGAGGAGGAGGAGGAAGAGGAAGGGGAGGAGGAGGAAGAGGAAGGGGAACAGGAGGAGGAAGAGGGAGGGGAGCAGGAGGAAGAGGGAGGGGAGCAGGAGGAGGAGGAGGAAGGGGAGGAGGAGGAAGGAGGAGCAGGAGGAGGAGGAAGGGGATCAGGAGGAAGAGGAAGGGGAACAGGAGGAAGAGGGAGGGGAGGAGGAAGGGGAGCAGGAGGAGGAAGGGGAGGAGGAGGAAGAGGAAGGGGAGGAGGAGGAAGAGGAAGGAGGAGCAGGAGGAGGAGGAAGGGGAGGAGGAGGAGGAAGAGGGGGGAGCAGGAGGAAGAGAAAGGGGAGGAGGAGGAAGGGGAACAGGAGGAAGAGGAAGGGGAACAGGAGGAAGAGGGGGGAGCAGGAGGAAGAGGAAGAGGAGGAGGAGGAAGAGGAAGGGGAGGAGGAGGAAGGGGAGCATGAGGAAGAGGAAGGAGGAGCAGGAGGAGGAAGAGGAAGCAGGAGGAAGAGGAAGGGGAGCAGGAAGAGGAAGGAGGAGCAGGAAGAAGAAGAGGAAGGAGGAGGAAGAGGAAGAGGAAGGAGGGACAGGAGGAAGAAGAAGAGCAGGAGGTCTCTTTCTATCAATGCAGAACTGTGACAGAGAAGAAAATCATTTTACAGACTTCAGGTTCCTCATGCCAGCAAATTTATTCTTTGAGCAGAAACTTTAATTTACGAGGGAGATTAAGAATGGCATTCCCTGATTCTCCTCCGCTTCCCAACCTTTCTACAGTAAGCACACAGTATTTTCATGATTAGGGAAAAGGCCTTTAATTATTAGTATTTTCAATTTTCATTGAAAAACAAAGGGTCATGTGGGGCGGGGGAGCATGTGACCTTCCCAAAGGCTGGATGGCAGTTGTGCCTTGGGAGGGGAGGGGACTCACAGCTTTTTTGCAGTGAAATTCAGCAAAGGATGTGGAGTCCTGACCTGGACCTGGGAATGCAGACTAATGACCAGTAAGGAACCTGTTTTGGTGTGTCTCCCTTCCGTCACACTGGTGTGGCCGTGAGGTCATTCATACCTCACTAGAATTCCCACACCAATGGTGCCTCTCACTGTAGGTGCTTAGCGTACATCTGCCAAATAAACAACTGTAGTGACAGCTGTTGCCCTCCCCCAAGACGGGCTACTTCACTGCTTGAGAACTACAGAAGGGTCTGGAGCCCAGAAACCGAAGAGGGGACTAATTCGCGATTAGTCATGAATCACCACTAACCAGAAACTCCAACCAGCTAGAACTCTGTATTTTCCTTGTCATAAAAGTATTATACAAGGCTAGAGAGATGGCTCAGAGGTTAAGAGCACCAACTATTCTTCCAGAGGTCCTGAGTTCAATTCCCAGCACCCACATGGTGGCTCACAACCATCTGTAATGAGATCTGGTGCCCTCTTCTGTGTACATAATAAATAAATAAATCTTTTTAAAAAATTATTATACAATAATAAAACATACAGATAAGGAAAAAAAGGTGTATTTTAAAAACCACTGGTGATACAGGAATATAACTTGCTCACATAACCTACAATTCATAAATATGCCTACATATATTTCTTTTAACAAGAATCGGAATTGTACCATTTTGTAATTTTGATATCATCAAATATTACCCTTCCACAGGATCTTAAATAGCAATAAAGCAGGGCTTAAACTTTCCCACTGGTGACCCATTTTTGCCCTATACATTTTTACAAGATGACAGATGTGTGTGTGTGTGTGTGAGAGAGAGAGAGAGAAAGGGAGAAAGAGAGAGAGAGAGAGAGAGAGAGAGAGAGAGAGAGAGAGAGAGAGAGAGATGCAAACTAACTGAAAATGTGCTGGAATAAAATTTTTATTTTGAAACAATTTTTGGTATATAATTTTACTAAATGTTGGAGATGAAAGCAAACTTTCATTGCAATAAGATGAACGTGGTTCATTTTCACAAAAAGCATTAAATCTTGGGGCTGGAGGGATGGCTCATTGGTAAACAGGATGTGATGCTCTTGCAGAGGGACCAGACCAGTGATCAGTTCTCAGTACCCAGATTGGATGGCTCACAACTGCAGTAACTCTATCACCAGGGATCCAAGAGTATTTGCTCTCACATATATATACATATACTCCTCATAGAGCGCGCGCGCGCACACACACACACACACACACACCTTTAAAAAATAATTGAGCCGGGCGTTGGTGGCATACGCCTTTAATCCCAGCACTTGGGAGGCAGAGCCAGTCGGATCTCTGTGAGTTCTAGGCCAGCCTGAGCTACCAAGTGAGTTCTGGGAAAGGCGCAAAGTTACACAGAGAAACCCTGTCTCAAAAAAACAAATTAATGAATGAATGAATGAATAGATAAATAAAATAAATAAATAAATAAAAAATAATTGAATCTTCAAATCATGGTAAGTAGTTGATGATGAAGGACACAGCATTGTCAATGTTTTTTTTTCTGAGTGGATTGATATTTTGATTTTTATAATCATCAACGATGATAAACTACTTTGCATAAATACATAACACAAAATGGCAGACGTATGTTTAGGCTACTTCAGAAATTCTATCCTAATCCTAAGTCAATTTTTTTGCTTAATAATTTTTTTTTTTAATGAAACACTAGTCAGCAGTTCAAACAATAATATTTAAGGACAAACTAACACAACATAATCCAAACATACTAATTCAGTATTTGTAAGCTGAGGAACGATGGTAGAAGAATATTAAATGTTTTCATTTTCCAGAGTTAGACTGTTACGTTCCTGTAGGAGCAGAAACCCTTGTATATGCAGTGAAAACACTGAAATTCATAGCGTACTGCAGCAGTGAATCCAAGCTGGGATGTTTCAGGCAGCATTCGACGGCGCTGCACGGCATGACCGCACATGGTGTGCGTGGCGTATGTTCAGAACCAAGGCTGCGGTGACATCACATATTGAAACACAGGTAGGCACTGTCAGGGATCCCTCAGATCCGCGGTGTATTTAACTCTGAATTAATTTTTGGTTGTTAAATGTTCAGAAACTCTTACTGTTGCCAGTTTCTTTTCCCTAAGCCTGACATTCAGTTACTCACCCTCACTCACAACCCACAGCAGAAGAGGCAATAAATATAGTGTGACACCAGATGTATGCATACTAATTTGTTTACCCACACGCCTGCCACATTAAGAATGTACCCCCCCTTTTTTTTTTCTGCTAGAAAAGATGCTGTAATGAGCATGTGATAGGCAACCATAGTTGAAAACCTAAGTCAAATCTGGTGACACACCTGTAATCCCAACACTCAGAAGGCAGAGGCAGGAGGAGCTAGAGTTTGAAGCCTGTGTGGGAGAAGCTACATAGTGAGATCCCACCAGCATGAGCTACATGCCTATACCTTGTTTCAAAAAGAAAAAAACAAAAACCCTCAACTAACTCACCAAATAAATAGTTAAAAAGTCAAATACTTGATAAAGCAAGTTGTCATCTGTAAAGGATGGTCCTTATGTGGCTTTTGCAGAAGAAGCAAGAGACAGACACCAACTTCTTCAGAGCCTGAGAAGGCTGTGTGCTCGGTACAGTGGTCGCTGACCCACATGACAAATTATGCCTGGACCTGTCCCCGTTAGTCAGGGGCTGCTGTTTGCCAGTCGATGTCCCCGACTTGAACAATG